GTGCAGTGCGTGGCCTTGCCGTGGCGGGAGGAGCTGTGCCTCCGGTTCATGAAGGAGGTGGAGACCCTCAGCAGCGAGAGGAGGGTGGCATAGCCTCCACCATCCCGCGCGAGGAGGGCAGCACAGCCTCCACCGTCAGCCTCCGCCGTCCCGCGCCTGTAGGGCCAGAGGCGAGACCCTTCTCCTTTGCAATGGGCAGTGCAGAGATTACAGCGAGGAGGGAAGGAGGAAGGAAAAGCCACTTCCTGACCCTGCTTCTTGCCAATAAGCACGGATCCTGTAAGGAGCCAAGATGCCACACAGAGGGCAGGACTGGCTTAAGCTGGGCTCGAATGATGATAAACCAATGAACTGCACCTTCCTGGAAGGATGGACACAGGTGGGGGTTCACCCTCGTTTTCATCTATGCTGCCTCTTGCAGAAGCAGGGTGATGCTGAGAGAGGGATTACAAAAGCTCAGCAGTATTTTCTTGCTGGCACTGGAGTAACTGAATAAGGATGTAACCATGGGCTGCCCTGTAAGGAATACAACCATGTACACCCTCCTCACCACGGCATTTCGGTCACAAAAATAAAAATGTAGCTGTTAAGCAACTCTTACCGTAAGCTCCAGTTTAATAAGACAAGACTTCTCTGATGGCTATGATTGTAGGAATGCACGGTTATTACTCAAAATGATACAAACGCCTTTGCAGTGGACGTTAAATGGCATCCAGCATGGGAGCGTCTCACCTTCCCTCTCAACCACAGCTTTCCTGTGTGTGAGGGATGGGAACAGTCCCACGCTCTTTCCACCACCAGATCTCGAGAATCCCAAGCACACTCCCAACCTCACAGCAGGGGCGTTCTTAGGAACCTCTTATTTCAGGACCTCAGGCTGCTCTTTCTGAAGGTAGGGGGATAAGCAGAGACAGATGCAACTCCATTATGCAGATGGTGAGATCTAGGGCAGAAAGGCTGAGATCCCCCGATGGTGTTTGTTAACCCAAACCTGCTCACATAGGGTCAGAGCAGTCAGACGGGAGGGGGAGAGCAGCATCCACCCAGGACCATTTACTCCGTCCCAAGAGAGACAGATAAATCACTCCCTCTAATAAGACGTCTCTCTCTTTGCTAGATTAAACACCTCTGTCTCAAACAGATAAATATTCAGGAGACTCCACAGCAGGTCTTTCTCATTTATTCTCTATGTGTCCAGTAAAAAAGCAGACATTTAAAAAGAAAAAATAAATATAAAGCAGTTTTGCTTTTCCTGAAAATTTGGGGGATTTCTTGACAGCCAGCAGACATAGTCTCTCACCCCTTCCTTCTACATCCGACGCAATTTGCAGAAATACATAGGTCCAAAGTTGGCTGTGAGGTGAGGCAGAACAAGCTCCCCCAGCCGGCAATCCGAGAAGAAGGAAAACGTGTCCTGGAAGAGCATCCGAAAGCAGCTCAAGTCCTCAACGTGGATATTGATGTTAAACTGGGTTTCTGCAATTTCTACTGCTCTCTCGATCACGCACTCGTTCTGCAGTGGGGAGAGGGAGCACGTAGAGTACACCACCTCTCCTCCTGTCTTGGTAGCGAGGATCCCAGCCCTGCAAGCAAGATGAACACACACATGCCGTCATGGGAAGTCTTCCCACCCACCAAAACTGGGAAGCCAGCACGTAGCTTGTAGGAGGTGAGAAACAAATCTTGAACTCCAGAAGCTCAGCTGTCTCACTGGATCACTCCAACATGAGGACTGTTTTAGACCAGGGCAACACGGGTCAAACAGATGCTTAGGTTGGTAAAGTACTCAACATGGGAGAGATGCTGTTGGAGAGCAGCTGGAAGGAGTAATCCTGCACTCATCTCCAAGGGGATGGGCTAAGAGTATGTGCAGGGGAAGAGGCTCTTGCAGTTCAAGCGCTGCTGTAGGAGACTAATCTGTTTCCTTACTGCCCCAGTTGGTGGTCAGCCCATCCAGCCTTCCCAGAGAAATGGGGTGACGAAGCACCTCCATGTCCTCCCATGTGCTGGGAGATGTGGACGCTCGGGAATCCTCCAGGACCCGGGAGATCATCACACAAAAGGACAACACTATGCCCATCCTGTTCCTTAGACCTTCCTCCCTACCTCCTGTGGCTACTGCTGGGGACGAGGACATTTGATCTGACTGAGAGCATTGGCACTTTCTTACACTTAATACAATTTGATAAGTTCAACTATTGCCATTGCAGAGAACTACACGTGGTTTCCATGTTTCCCAGTCAGGGACACACAAAGTAAGAAGAGGTCTCAGTGCTGGCCACAGAGAGCCACCACCGTAGCACAGAGAGCACCAAAACACAGCAGAGAGCTCACTCACATCAGCAGCTGCAGCTGCAGCATGGGCAACATCTGGCGCTCCTTGGTTCGTCTCCTGTGGAAGATGTTGTTCTCCTCCTCCATGGCAGAGTGCCTGTCCGTCGTGCAGGGCACATCCACCAGGACCTGCAGTGGCAGAGATCCTGCACCAGTCCTGGGCCCAGGCCAGGCTCAGCGAGTCCCAGTGCAACTTGCCCTTGCCTAGCTGACACTGCCCGAGCACAGGCACGCACCCGCACTCAGCTGTAACTCGTCTGGCTGCGTTTGCATTTCGGGAATGCGCAAACAGACACGGGAACGGTGGGCAACATCGTGCTCTAACATGTGTCCTCATTTCATGTTTCTACTCTGCGTGTCTTCCCGGCAGGCATTACCGCAGCACCTACAGCTGCAACCACATGTGGCCGGAGCTCCCGGAGTAACAAACCCAGCTCCCATGGCTGGACATGGCTAAGAAACAAGAATTGCCTAAACTTCACATTTAACCCCTTCCAGGTGATGGGTTAGAAGAGGATTTTTAAGGGGTATTACACAGGTAGATAAAGGTACAACTCTGGATCCCCATATGCACCAGATCCTGAGGGAAGGCTATAGCAGGAGGAAATATTACTCTGCATGTGGCTTAGTCTTCTCTCTTTCTCTGCATTTAAGATTATGGAAAACTCTACGATTACACTGCAGGATAAGCTGCTGTCTTCCTCTGAAACAGGAGGAAAGTGAACTAGGTGGGTTTGTCTATCTTCACCGGTTCCCAATCACCCACCTTCTGGAAAGTGCCACCTTCCAGCTGCCCCCAGTCCCTTCCGTCGCAGGACGTGATGCTCACGGTTTCCCTGATTTCTTTGGGAACGTAGCTATG